TCTGGACCAGGAGCAGTGGGATGGTGGCTCAGAAGCCCCTCCCTCTGGGCCGGGAGCGGTGGGAGGGATGGTGGCCCGGAAACCCCTTCCTCTGGTCCAGGAGCAGCGGGACAGAAGGTGGTCCAAAAGCCCTTTCCTCTGGGCCGGGAGCAGCGGGAGGGATGGTGACCGGGAAGCCCCTTCCTCTGGACCAGGAGCAGTGGGACGAAGGCTCAGAAGCCCTCACCTCTGGGCCGGGAACATTGGGACTCAGTACCTTGGTCTGGTGGTCTGATGTCCTCCGCCTCTTTGTAGTGTGGAATCAGGTGGCTGCCTGTCTGCAGCGGGGTGATTCCGTGTCTTCCGCGTGACTCAGGACCTCGTTAGGGCGTGCACAGACCTGCCTGTCTGCAGGGGGCTGATTGGGCGTGTTTTGTGCGACTCAGGACCTCGGTAGGGCATGGGCAGACCTGCCTGTCTGCAGCGCTGTGACTCGGCGTCTTCAGTGGATGCATATTGAGGCCATACTCTTAAGTGAAATAAATAGGACACACCTGTGTAAATACCAAATAGTTTCTCTAGTGTGAGAAACTTAAAATGTAAATAAGGATGAAAATGATTAAAATAAACAATTGATAATTTGAAATGGGATAAGGTCCAAAGGTGTAGGGGTGGCGGGAGGGGAGCGGAAAGGGAAGAAGGGAAAGGAAAGATTATGAGAAAGATAAAAAAATGAAAACAAAGTCTATGTAAATAGGGAAAGGTGGAGAGGGTGAAGGGTGCACAGGTAATGGGGAAAAGAATAAGAATTAAGATACATCATGTTCAGGTACAAGCACCCAATGATAAATGTAAATGTATTGTATACCTAAAATGTACCAATAAATATATATAATAAAAAAATAAAATTAAATTAAAAGGTGTGTACTATTTACATTGCCCCACAGTTTTAAATATAGTACCTAGCACAGAACAAGGTCTGTGTTATACATGTTGAGCAACTGTATTAAAAAGGACAGGGGACATAGTTGGGAACCTGTCCTAATAATCCAGTCTTATTGAGATCATTCTTGGTGAATTCAAGTCATAAATAGAGATGAAATCAGCACAGTGAAAAAGGTAGGGGAGGTACTGTCAACTCTTTGAATGTAGGTGACAAAGGAGGAAGAGAAAAGAACATTCAGAGACTTTGATTTCAGCTGATGAAGTGGATTATGCCAAAGAGAAAAATGGAGGAATCCTCCTTCCCCATGGCCCTCTCATTCTCAATTCAGTCAGAATTGAGGCAGGTTGAATGCCAGGCTAAAGTGTTTCATGGAGGCAGACATAGGACATTCAAAAGAGTCTGAAAGGATAAGAAGGAAAAGTTTTTCTTTGTCTCTCTGAAGAAGAATTTTGCTCTTCTGTGGAGGAGGAGAATTTTGAGCTGAATGTATTTTTGCTTGGTACAACTTTAAGTGTTCTGTTTGATAGCAGAGTTGTTTGAATGGCCTATTTTATAACTACACATAGCTTTTTCAAATAAATGGTGTCTGTAGAATGTTCAGGTTAATGCATGAGTCCGGTGCTCAAGCGTGTTTGTGCTTAGAGCGACTGAACTTTCTTTCTTAATAAGTCATCTTGGCATTTTGTCAACAAGTTAATTTGCTTTTCTAAGAAACTAGATTAATACTTCCTGTGCTTTGTGCTATTCACAGATCTACAATGCAGTGAGAAGAAAAGAAACAGAAGATACAATTGGATCTCTTCTCCATTTCTTCACAAAGCTCCCAGCCCCTGAGACAGTCTGTGGAAGGATTAGTCTTGGTCCATGCTTAAAGCAGTGTGTCCGAGACACTGTATATGAGTACCGTGCCACCCTCCAAAGGACTTCCATATCTCAGTACATCACTGGTTCTCTCCTAGAGGCAACCACTTCTTTAGGAGCAAGAAGTTGTCTTCTCAGTACTTTTGGAGGATCCACTGGACGAATGATGTTGAAAGGTAATGTTTAACATGTCACTTTTAACTTTTCACCTTTGCCTTAGAAAAGAATCTAAGTTAACATTTATGCATCTCTTGATGGAAAATTGAGTTCGTGTATCAGCCACTTTAAGTAACAATAACTACTTTGGGATAATATATAGTCCCTATTAAAATCTCTTTAGGGTATAAACATTCTAAACAGTAAGCATTAAGATTTTGAAATTTCTTTTTCAAAACAAGTAAAGGGTTAAAATCCTATCTATAATTAAAAAAAAATATATTCAGGCAGGTGGTGTCTCCTAGTGGTGTTCACGGCAGATGTCAGTACTGTGACAAGGTACTAATAAACAAGCATGGTCATGTGGTCACATTGAAAACCACCAGTGGTTTGGAATAGAGTGAAATGTAGATCTCCTTCAAACAGAGAACCAATATGTTCCTATCGACCAGGAAAGCTAAAGACTATCTTCTAGTGAATTCTACCTTAAAAAGATAGGTAGGCATAGTGCTTTAATATGAAAGCCAATGGAAAATAGGGTCTTTTAGCTTCTGACCTTCTCAGTAGTAGCAGACAGGCAGGTCAGAAATGGCAGCACACCAAAGAACCTTGGAGACTTGTTCACTGTACAGCTGTCACAAGCCACTTGGCTGTCTTCCCTGGTAGGAAGCTACTAGCCAGACAGGGATGATGCAGAGATGCATTCCACTACCTGGGGGCTGCTAAGTGTTCCAGCCGATATCTGCAATTTCTCTCAAGAAGAGTAGCTATTAGCCAACAGTGAGCCCTGATCCCAGAGTCAGCAGTCCAGTGACCTTCCTTCTTGATCCTCAGCCTTTCTGATGCCACCCATACACCTGCCAGCAGACTTAAAAGAGATGCTGCCACCTCCATGTGTACTGTGTTGGGTGACATGTTGGTTTGTCTCATAGAATGACCTTAACTTCTAGGCATTTTTTTAAAAAATCATGCAATATGGAAATGCTAATCCAAGAGACTAATGGGGAGAAACTTGATTTCATATATTCAATAAAGAAACTCTTAAGCTCCTACTTGTTTCCATGTGCTAGGAAAATAAAAGAAAACCATAATTCCTGCCCTCAGGAGCTTATATTCTCTAGGTGGTAAACAGGTTTCCCTATACACAAGATTCAAGATTTCCCCACTCTGATGTGGCCCCCAGAGAATGGCAGGCTTGCATTCTTTATCAGTGCTCTTCCAAGGAAGCTGAGCTTAGATTAGCACGAGGAATTAGTATTCCTTAAGTGACTGTTACTGTATGCCAGGACCTCATCCTGGAAGCTCAGCAACCTGTCTTATCACATACCCACTATGGACAGCAGAGCTCAGACGTTATGGGAGATCCTATTGAAGTATTAAGTCAATTTAAACTGTTTATGAGGAGGCAGATTTGCATGCACCAAGTAATCAAAAAGTACTGTAAAACTGCAAAGAGGTTAGCGCCAAATATTGTGGAAGTGTCTATAAGTGTTCAAAGAGTTTGAAGGAGTTAATATTCTATATGATGAATGGCTTGTTTTGAAAAGTGAGGCTTCAAATAAACAAAAGTCCATTCAAGCTACTTTGTTTCTTCTACATGAATTTGCTAAGGGACAGATCTCTAAGTTCCCTAACCAAAGTAGGCATGCCTCCAGTCTTCTACAGACCTATGGGGAGAAAGAAAGGTCCTTAGACACTGTTTCTGTTTCCTTAATAGTAATTTTATCATGATTGCTATTTGCACTTCCCTGTTCAAAGTACACACTCATAGATCAACGTTCACAGCTAAGAAACTCACCCAACCGTCACATAATTTGTGATCTTTCAATTAGCATTTTAAGCAAGAGTTGAGGGTTTCTTTAACCTTCTGTTTTTATTTCTTTAATCATTTTTAATGACTCTCTACAAGTTGTTCAACTAATACAATTGGCTTGTCTTCTCTGGGCTTATTTCTGCAGCTCCTGGCTTGTTTTCTTAGAAACATTTTCAACTTCAGTGCCCTCTCCCAACTTCAGGGACTTCTTCAAAGTCTTTTTGTTCCCTAAACATATCTTCTTCAATATGTAGTGGGAAAAAATACATTTAGTAAAACCAGGTAAGTTTTTCACTAGAAAAAAACATAAATATGTGCAGTGAGGTGTATGTTCATTAGCTTGACTGAGCCATCCCACAATGTTTCGGAACATCATATTGCATACAATTTTTAAAAATTAAATGTTTGAAAAACCAGATGGGTTTCCAAGTCACAAGATAGCCACAGAATCCATACAAGCACCTATTGGCTTGTGGGTCTTGAATCCTGATGGTCGTGTGCCTGTATACTCTACCAAGCAATCTGGAGGAAGCACTGGCTGCTGTGATTTGGTTGGCTTCTTTTACTGTTCAGTACATGTCTTTTGGCATAAATTTGGTTTACAGCTTTCAGCTCTGAATTGCTAATGAAAATCTGTGAGGAGTTTCTAAAACACACGTTCCATTTTATAAGTGAATTGTGTTCTAGAAGTTCATTTCTCAGGAGCTGTTTAGAACTTAGAACACTTGCCTGGAGAAACAATATTAAAAGTGACTTGGTTTCCAGATTCTAGTCTTTAAAAATCCTTTTAACTCGTAACACAGTTAAAATTTACATATTTCTCCTAGAATGAAGAGAGGAAACAGTACTATTGAAATGCTGAGCATCAGCCTCCAAGAAAAAAAACAATACAAGAGAGTTAAAAGATATTTTTGCTGCAGAGAAATAATTTTAATTGAAGGTGATTAAAGAGTTAATGTAAAATTTTTATGATGACTGAAAAGAATTTTTAGCCATTTCTGAGATTTTAGATGTTAGTAGCTGTGGTTCTTTGTTATAGTTAATACTTTCAGGCTCATACTTTCAGGCTCATACTTAGATGAAAGAATCAGAAAATTATCCCAAGTATCTTTTTTTTCCTTTTTAAAAATGAGAGGCTTATAAATGGAATGAAGAAGGGCAGAAGGAGACAGCACATGATTTTAAAACTTTTTCCCAGAGAGAAAGGGAAAGGAAAGGGTCAAAAGAATGACCTCTTCTGTGGAAGAAATCATGTTTGAAATCCGTTAAATGGAATTGGGAAAGGTAGACAGAAAAGGAGAGGAAAAAAAGACAAACGCTTATGATTTCACTTATATGAGGCACTTATAGTAGTAGAAATCCTAGAGACAGAAAGTAGAAGGGTGTGAAGAGCTTAGGATAAAGGGAGAATGTGAATGTTGAAGGATATGAAGTTTCAGTTTTACAGGATGAGCATTCTGGAGATGGAAAATGATACAACCATGTGAATGTCTGTAATACCAATGAACTATGTCCTTAGAAATGCTATGATGGGAAATTTTATGTTTGTATTTTGCCACAATAAAAAAGAAATGAAAGGAAAAAGAAGGTCTTTCATCCCAGGTCTCTTATGAGGTTAGAAAGAACTGAGGAGCTTGTCTCCTGAAAGTGATTAAGATCACAGTTGAGGACTGCAGCAGCCAGCAGTGAGTACAAATAGGAGGAAAGAATGCCCAGCCAGTTGATCATTATCCCCAAATCAGGAGTTGGTAACTCAGAGCTTGATTGTCCAGAATTTGAAGCTGTGCAGTCTATAGGATGGTACCGAAAGACAACCAACAAATCAGAACACAAATTACCTGGTTTTCTGCCTTCAGGACTACCAAGGATGGTCTTTGTCTTAAGCTGAAAGTTTCCCAAATTATTAGAAACATTTTCTAATATCAAGTATTGAATAGCAAGGGTGTGCCCTTGAGTACAAGAGTGTTCTATCTCCAGTGGAAAAACTGAGTTTACCCCATCTGGTAAGAGACTTCCTCCAGTTTGATAGAGATAAGCTCTTCCTACTTCCTGTCCTCTTCTTCCCCTCACATTAACTTTGTCAGAATCCCGGGACTAGAATAATACAGCAGTGACAGTCAGAAGAATTATTGACTTCAATAGTCAAGAAAAAGCAAAATAAAAGAAAAGAAAGAGAACAAGTGAGATAATTCAATGTAAAGAACTAAAAAGCAAACTAGAATAATAAAATAATGAGAGCATTTTTCAAATAATGCAGCTAAGTGTTCTCAAATGTGCACATGGTACTAACGAACACAACATATTTAGTGCATTAAACACAAGATTTTACTTCTCATATTTTTTTGAGTAAAATTTGTAAATTAAGGGGTTAAATATTACATATAACCAGGACAATGCTTAGTTACCCATATTTAAATTATGCAGTGCATATTTAAATTACCCAAATTTAAAACTCCACTGTTCATTTGTAACAAGTTTAAGTATGTGTGATGTGATAACTATATTGAAGTTACTGGTCATATGTAGACTGTAAATTAGCATATTAATATGAAAACAAAATGTACCTTAAAGATTTAATATTCTTATTTGAAATTAGGAAATATTTTGCTTCTGATAGAAAAGCATGATAAGTTTTAACTTGTTTTCCTTTCACCACACTAAGTATAGCCTATTTGTGTCTTTTTCTGAAATTAACAGTTTTAATATAAAAATAGAAGTCACAGTCAAAATACATATACACATTTAAAATGAATGACTATATTTCATAAATAATTTAGTTTATAATAGCTGTCTTAGTTAACTTCCTTATAATCAAAACAATTACCCTTTACGTGCCTACCAGGCCAGAAAGGCATGTGCATAGTTCTAATTCCAAGGTTTAACTTTATTTAAAGAAATACCATGATTTATTAGTTTTGTCACCTTGAAATTATTTTTGAGTGTTAAGTATGCTTTAATGTAATACTGTATTGTTTCTGTGTCAGTTAATCAACTAAGAAATACTCACTGGTTCCCCAGTGTAGTCTTGTGCTATGTCACCTATGGAAAGAATGCAAAAGACTATTTATATATATAGTCTTCACCTTGTAAAATAGTATTTTTCATTCCAGAGAAAACATAATATTAAGTTTCCATCTACTGGAATAGCCCTTACCACCTAAAGAGAATCCATAGTGCATGCCTATAATCACAGCACTTGGGAGGCTG